GTCCGGGCCAGCCCCAGACCCGGCGGCGCCGTCTCTCGCTCGCTCGCCCTGGTGAGCACGCGTGCCCAACAGCGCAACTGAACCAGTGACACGTGCAGTTCTGGTAAATAAAAAGAAATCATGCCAGACGTGCGCTCGCGTGCCCCAAATGCCGACAGGACGCGTGTGTGTGCCCTGAACCCTGACAGGATGTGTGTGTGTGTGTGTGTGCCCCAAACCCTGACAGGACACGTGTGCGTGTGTGTGTGTGCGCACGCGCCCCACACCCTGACAGGACGTGCATGTACGTGTGTGTGTGCATGCACACACCTGTCTCTCCCTCCGTCTCCTCCTGGTGAGCTCGCGTGCCCCCTAGCGCCTTGAAAATGGAAAGGGGGTAAGAGCGCTGGCCTGTGCTATGGCTTGTGTTGGCCAGCAGGTGGCGTGGTGGTTAAAGGCGCTGGATTCCCACGCGGTCGACCATACTTCGAGTCCTGAACCTGGCAGCTTGCTTTCTCGCTTTCCCTTTCTCTCTCTGGTCAAATTAAAAAATAATAACAAATGGAATTAATTACATAAATAGTTATTTAAAAATAAATTCGTGTTGGAAACTAATCCCCATCGAAGGGCAGGGCGTCCGGGAAGCTCCTCCCTCACAAGTGGGTTAGTGCACCACGAGGCGCGAAGGGCTGAGTGTGGCCCTCTGCCCCCACCACGCGAGAACACGGCGTCACACTGAAAACGCCAGGACCGCGGCACCGTGCAAGTGGGGGTCAGGCCCTCTCTGGGCACCAGCACGCCACCTCCACTCCAGACTGCTCAGCCTCTGCACGGAGACAAACATGTTCCTGTCCTTTGCAAATGACCGTACCTGTCTCCGATGTCTTTTGTAATTTGCCAGAGGTCGTGCGAGCTCACCGTAGAGGAGAGAGCCAGAAAGCCCCGCCCTGGGCCGTGGTCCTGTCACACGCACCCCCAGGGTTTTTTTGGTTTGGGTTTTTAAGAGATTTTTGCTATAAGGCATGTGCATTCACCAAAGAGACAGACAGAACGCGAGATGGCCACACCGCAATCCCCTCTCCAGTCTCCTCTGGGGATTTTGGGCACGCACACACACGCACCTAGTGTGAATTTTAAACTGCCGGGTCCGGGACTTGAGCGATATAGCCATTATGCCACCTGCTGGTCCCCGCCCAGGGCGTGTTCTAAGCCGCCAGGTACAGAACTCAAACTGCACAGTTGGTCGTCGCGCTGATTATTTTTATTGCCAGAGCATGTGTGCAAAGACAGAGCGAGGGAGGGAGGGGACGCACCTTCTTACACGCGCGTGCTCACGCCATAGCCCCTCCCCCTCCATCTCTCTCCTTTCAGATTTGGAGCGCACATGCCCGGCATGTTTCTCAGCCACAGGGTCTGGGACTTGAACCGTGTAGTCAGCCACGTGTGAGCCACTGCCTTCACCACTGCTCCAGCCACCCTAACCACCAGGCTGTGGGGTGGCCCTCAGATCGATCGGTTGATTGAGTTTGATTTTTGCCATAGGGTGTGTGTGCTCGCTGGAGAGAGACAGAGAGGGTGAGTGAGGAGTCCACCAGGGACTGGCCACGCTGCAGTCTCTTCTCCGTCTTCTTGGGGTTTGGAGCACACGCATGCCTGGAGTGCATTTCAAAGCCGTTGGCCACGTGGGAGTCCAGCCCCTCAGCCGCCAGGCCACCTGCCGGCCCCTGTGTTTTTAGCAGCAGCACAGATGCGCTGGGTTAGCAAGGCTGAGGGGATGCACACTCCGTTCTGGACATCTTGGCGGGACCAGCAGATGGCGAAGTGGTTACATCGCTGGACACCCACGTAGTCAAACACGGTTCAAGTCCTGGACCGGATGGCTTAAACTCACGCCAAGTGAGTGTGTGTGTGTGCTCAAAATCCCGAGAGGACAACGGAGGGGAAGGGACTGCAGCGTGGCCATCCCCCGGGGGGTTATTTTTCACTTTCTGTCTCTCTGGAGAGAACACACGCTATAGCCAATATCTCCCTTAAAAAAATCAGAAAAGAGCACAGGATGGGCGAGGTCGGCACAGCCACGCTCACATCGTGTCTCCCACGGCTGCGCCCCGGAGGCCGGGCCAGCCCTGCAGGTGAAGCGTGTGCGTCCACGGTGAGCGTCCGGCCTGGGGGACCGTCACGTGCTACAAGGACGAACATCAGGGCACTCCGCCCCATGGACGAAGTCACAGGAGTGGGCTCCACTCACGTGGCGCAGCCGAAGTCCTCGCACGGTGACAGGAAGTGGGCAGAACTGGGCTGGCATCCCCGACCGCGCGTCACAGGGAGGCCCCGTAGCTGCAGGTGGGGCCAGCAGCAGGCATGACACGCCAGCACGTGTGTGCACCAAACCCGACCGGGTGGAGAGATGGGAGGGGTGGGGCGTGCCCTGGGCCCACAGGACGCTTTCTCCCCCTCTGACTTTCTGACAAGTGCACATGCCCTCTGACAATTAAAAACAAAAGGGAAAAATATTAAAAGAGTACATTTTTAATGTTTTAAACTACAATAAATATAAATAAAAATTTTAAACGAGACTAAGAAGCAGTAAATTCGAAAGTAAGTGTCTATTTTACCTTGGAACCGTGACTCATCTGAATGACTCAGTCGCTGTGCACCTTTTGATAAAGTGCTTCCCCTCTCTGAGCCTCCTCTGCAAGGTGCAGGAAGCAGCACCGTCCTGTTAGGACTAGTGCGCTTCGCTGAGAAAAAGGCAGGAAGTGCCCAGAGAGGGCGGCGCTCAGCAGCACAGGTTCTGGGGTCAGAGACAGAGCCAGGCTCAAACCCTGCCTGTCCCTCTCCTGACCCCGGGACCGACGCCTCGCCTGTCATCCCCGGGTCTGGGGAGAATCCACCCCGCTGCGGACGGAGCCGGCCAGTCGGGCGTGCGGACACGGCACAGACAGGGCGGGCTGCTCGCTCCAGGGCTCTCGGAGCTGGAGCTGCGTCCGCAGAGGCGGAGACAGACGGACGCTTCTCCAGCAGCACAAAGCCTCTCCCCTGCGCCCCACACCGGCCAGAGCCCGCAGCCAGGCCCCCAGACATTGTTAGCCCGTGAACTCTGGGGACCAGTGACTGTCTCCAGGGCAACTGGGATAGCTGGGAAAGGACATGGGTCAGTTCTTATCCGAGGCAGGTGGCTTCCCTGCAGGAGCTTCTGCTTACCCTCCGCAAGGAGGTGACCAGAACGCGCAGAGGTGACCAGAACGCACCTCTGTGGGCTGCCTCAAGGCGACCCAGAAAACGCCCGGCTCAGGAGGCAGAGACTGGCCGCTCCCAGAGCACAGCCCGCCACGCCCACGGAGCTGGCGCTGGCCTTCAATACCTGTCACCAACCCCCACCCGGACCCCCCACGGAGCCTGCTACACAGCGAACACGCAAAATGCTTATCTACAGCTCGGGAGCCCCAGCCGCACGCGGTCCAGACTGCTCTGGCCAAGGCCACGAGGCCCGCCGAGGCTCAGCGCAGCCTCAATAAGCAGGCAGCCTCCTATCCCAGCTCCCTGCTGGACCTGATGGCCAAGGCCACTGGACACTCCTCTCCCAGGGTGGTCCAGACAGAGCCCGGGAGGCCACCAGGGACAGGGCAGCCTGGCTTCCCACTGCCCAGCCCGCTTGGCACCTGTGCTGGTCCACCACTGGAACTGCGGGCCTGTGGAGAGGCCAAGGCAGGGACTGAGGCCCCAGGGGCGCAGATAGAGCTGCCCGCTCTCCTCTCTGGGGCCTTGTGCTGGCCTCGCAGTCGACTGATGGGACTCAGCACCTCTCTGTTGGCCTAGAAGCCCCAGGGAGGTGGGAGAGCCGGCCTGGCCTGGGTCTCCCGTCTGGCTCCCAGGTGCCCCAGCCCCACCTTGCTTCCTGGAAGAGCCTGGGGCCGAGAGGAAGGGAGGAGGGCCCCCTCGCGGTCCCTG